CGTCTCTTGGCCTTCGCTATGCTCCACCCCAAAAGTGGCTGCATTTCTGTGGCTGCTGATGCCCTCTGGAGGCTGGGGCTCAGTCTGAGTGAGGTGTGGAGCAGTGCCTGTCCCCTTGGCGGGTGTGCGGATGGCCCCGAGCAGGCCGGAGCACAACCCCTGATCCCGAGCGCAGCAGGGACACAGAGGAGGGCCCTGGCACTGCTGCGACCCCCAGGGCTGGGGAGGGGTCTGCGGACATATGTGGTCCACTAAGCTGGCTGTGCCACTCAGGTCCTAGCCCCCTTCCCCCTCCCAGAGCCCTTCTCTGCTCCCCTCTTTCTTAGAGGCCCCTGAGCTGGATCGTGACCCAGGTCTGAGTGCCCCGCTGGGGTTCCCTCCCTGGGTCTCTGGCCTGACCCAGCTGCCCCTGGCCTGGTCCCTTTGGAGCATTTCTCTTTTGTGTCCCCCATCCCCATCGCTGGGGGGGATCTCCAGCTCCATCTGGGTTCAGATTTCTCTCTAGGTCTTCTTTCCGCCATCTCTTTGGACCTCCCTGGTGCACATGCCCCTGCCTCTGAAGTGCAGCCAGCTGTGGGGTGCAGCACCTGGGAAAAGCAGGAGGGTTGGAGCTGTTATCACTCACAGGGCAGGGCCTGTGCTTGGCTCGGGGGGGCCTTGTGGCATGGTTGGGGTGAGCACTGCTGTCAGCCTGGGAACCCCTGGCCTGGCCCATTGTGCCCCCAGCACGGCCGCCCTCTGCCTGGACCTCGGAGCAGCTCCACCGGACCACCGCTGCATCGGTCTTGCAGTCATCATCAGCCCCTCGACAGGGGGAGGGGGCCGTGGCTCACACTGCCAAAGGGCACAGCGGGGAACTTGCAGGGCGGGAGTGCTACTCTACTGCGCACGCTGCAGTCTGTGCATTTGTGTGCACGTGCGTGTGTGTGCTTGGCCTTGGGCGTGTGTGAGGGGGAGACAAGGAGCCAAGATAAGCACTGAATGTACCAGCTGACTGTCAGATACAGTGAAGCACTTGGGTGTATGTGTAGCCATGTATGTGTGTGCGCACGCACGCATTTGTGTGTGTGGGATGGGGAGATGAGGATCCAGGATAAGCACTGAATGTATCAGCTGACTGACACACTGAAGTACTTGTGTGTGTGTGGGGGTGGGGGGGGCAGGGGGGATGGGACGTGTAACTGTGTGTGCTTGTGTGTGTAAGGGGAAAAAAAAGACTGGAATAAGCACTGAATGTACCTGCTAACTATCTGATACAGTGAAGCATGGGGCCGTGGGGGGTGCTGCATGTGTTTGTGTGTGTTCATGTATGTGCATATGTGCGTGCACGCGTGTGTGAGCTGGGGGAGGAGGAGATGCTGGCCAAGCCCTGGCTATGCTGCACCATGCCCCAGGCTGGGATCAGCACAAACGGCTCCGGCTTCAGGTGCCCCCAACACTGCAAAGGGGAAGAAACACTTGGAAAGAACCCCAGGGCTGAGCCAGGGCAGGGCCGGTGCGGTCCTGCAGGCTGGGAGGGAGCAGTGGGGAGTGTGGCTCTGTAGGCCTGGGGTTGGCGGGGTGTGGCAGGGGCTATGCATGGGGCAGGGGCACTTTGGTCCTGCTGGGCCGTTGGCGGGGGAGCACTGTTTCCAGCATGCTGGCTGCAGGGGTCTGGAAAGCACATTTCAGCCTTTATCCCTTTGATGCCTCCCCCCACGGCTCATCTTTCTGCAGAGCAAACAGGAAGCGCATGGGAGGCCGGAGACCCGCAGGGCACGCACGTGCTTGGACAGTGCAAGCGGGCGGAGAAGCGTGGCACGGGAGGGGGCACAAACAGCAGGGAGGAGGCATGATGGGACACGGCAATGTGGGAGGACCGGCCTTGCAACCCAGACTCCTGGGTCCTGTGGCCACTGCCCTGGCCTCTGGCAGTCAAGGATGGGCGCTGCCTCAGCGCTTGTGCAGCACTGAGCATGTAGAGAGCAGAGAGCACAGCTAACCCCCATGCTGGCCTGTGCCCCCATCTCCATGCAGCCTAGGGGGCGGGGGACATGCCCAGGGGCTCAGGACAGTCAGTGGTAAAGAGGAGCCAGGCCCTGGGGACCCTACCTGCCCCCACCATTGCTGCCTCCCTTTGCCATGGGCTGAGATACCAGTGACGGGTGCCGTGGTTGAGCTGGGGCAGAAAAAGGGTGAACAGGACTAACTGCAGTGATCCCATGGGACATGCCCCTGGCTGGGAAA